ACTTTGGTGAGTGGCATCTGGGGTCTTAAAAGCTTGCAAGCATCCATCTAAGATGCATCAATTGGTCCCAACCACCTGGAGTAAAGGAGAATGAAGAGCACCAAAGACACAAGGAAAGTATTAGCCTAAGAGACAGAAAGGGCCACATAAACCAGAGACTTCATCAGCCTGAGACCAGAAGGACTAGATGGTGCCTGGCTACCACCAATGACCGTCCTGACAGGGAACACAATAGAGAGTCCCTGATGGAGCAGCAGAAAGATGGGGTGCAGAACTCAAATTCTAGTTTGAGGACCAGACGTAATGGTCTAACTGAGACTGGAGGTACCCCAGAAAGCATGGATCCTGGACTCTATCAGCCCAGAACTAAAACAATTTCCAAGGCCAACTCTTCAGACAGGGACTGGACTGGACTGTGGGACATAAAGTGATACTCGTGAAGAGTGTGCCTCTTAGTCAAGAGACCAAAGGGGCAGCTTCTGTCCAGTGGGGAGATGGGAAGGCAGAGAGGGTTAGGAGCTGGTTGAATGGTCATAGGGAGTTGAGGGTGGAAAGGAGGAGTGTGCTGTTGCAGAATGGGGTGAGCAGTTATGGTCACATAACAATGTATGTATAAAATTTTGTATGGGAGAGTAACTTGAAATGTAAACTTCATTTAACTACAACAACAACAAAAAGAATATTCTAGGCCTTGATAGATCCCAGAAATCATGATAACTAAATTGTCTCCATTCTCAAGATGCCACCACCTGACATTCTTACTGAGAGTGTCACAGAAGTGCCATCAAAGCAGGCTCCTAGTTCAGACACCACAAATGTGAAAAACAAGAAGTCAGATTCAGTTATGCCATGAAGCAGAGAGAATGAGTGTCAGCAGCTCCTTGGATGGAGAAATTTGGTTGAGATTATTTGATTCTTTTCTACAGAAACAGTTTTCTAAGGACACGAGAATTTTCATGTTTTCCCTGAAAACAAATTCGGCAAGCACTTTCTATGCCTGGGTGCTTTCAGTATACAGGGGAAACGTGCAGTCGCCATTTTGAGCTCTAAGGGCACTCCTGGTGAGGCAGCACTGAGAAGGGGTCTCGATTGGCAAGACAACAAGACTTAGAGGCCTCGCTCATCAGTCATTGAGAGACCTGGGCGAGGAGCCCCTCTGTTTCCTTTACACTTTGAATCCACACCCAAATCTAGAACACACCCTCAGTTTGTAATAAGAATAATATAGCTAAGGCGGGACAGCATGATTTGTGCTCCTAGTTTTGTTGCATGTTCGTGTTGAGTGTTTGTACTCAGAGAGTATTAGGAGACTTCACATATTGGAAAAAAGTGGCTGAGAACTATTCTCTGTAGAACGTGAGCAAGTGGCCAAGCCCTCCTTCCTTCCACCCTCACTCTCACTCCTTGTGTTTTTCTTTGGGCAGAGCCTGATTATTGGAAATATAAGTCCAGTTCACCAGAATAAGCATGTGACGTGGGCCCTGGAAGCTCCATGTTGTAAATCTCTGAGAGCCGCACAGGCTCTGCAGTGGCATGGGCCTCAGGGTGATGGTTTGATGGCCGTGTTAGCACAGCTGGGATTCCGCTCAGCTTCACACATCCATCACTCCTGACAGGGGTGGAATGGGAGGGGCAGGACAGGCTGCATGACTAGCTTCGAGGGAACTCAGGGAAGACCAAGGAGGGGTCTTAACAGGCGAAACTTGGGGCTGTGATTCTCCAACAGTTCCTAAGCAAGGCCCTAGAACACAATTTGGGGTGAAAGTGCTTCAGGGGTCTTTTAGTGTGGCTCGCGGTTCTTGGGACCTCACAGGGCGAATCCCAGGCTAATGTCAGCGTGGGCAGATGGTGTTGCAACACTAGCCTTGATCTAGGCTGAAGACCCTGAAACCCCCTTAGCAACAGCATGGAGCCTTGAGTGAATGCAGTTAGGAGTTACTGCTTCCAGAATGGTGCATGGTAAGACAGAAACCCTTCTAGTTTTGTTTGCAAATGGTTTTGCCTCTCTAACTCTGAATTTGGGTCTGTGTGTATATGTCGGGAGAGAAGGAACCAGGGAATAGGTGGTCTACTTGGATTATGAAACTAAATGAATGAACATATATTGTCTAAGAAAAATAAGCTACAGAGCAATATACAATTCTACCATCTCTGGAGAAGTTCAGAGAACATGGGTATGACTCAGGTTTTCCTTTAACCCTCTTTGACAAAACAGGCTGAAGGAGAATGCACAAGATGTCCCCCCAACAGATCAGGTTTGGTCTGAGATTTAGAGGCAAAAAGCAAGCCCCAGAACTTCTGGCAGTTCTTGACATATAAACTCGCAAGCACCAGTTCCCACATTTGCACATTGAAAGTGGCATTTGGCTGTGATATGGGTGTGAGGAAATGAAGCAATATCTTACCGTAGATATACAATAAAGAAGTGTCACCTGGGATGCCCAAGGTGATTTTGGCTCCTTATCCTCAGTTTCCTCTATTCCAGATGATCAGCTGAACTCAGAAGAGAAGAAGAAGAGAAAGCAGAGGAGGAACAGGACCACGTTCAACAGCAGCCAGCTGCAGGCTTTGGAGCGCGTCTTCGAGCGAACACACTACCCCGATGCTTTTGTGAGAGAAGACCTGGCCCGCAGGGTGAACCTCACCGAGGCCAGAGTACAGGTAATTCATGCTGTGGGAGGCTGGCACTGCATAGCCTCCTTCCCAGAGGCACATCTCTGAAGACTGCTTAAAAACCCAATTTTAGATTTCAGACTGGGGCTGGTACTCAAAAGTGTTACAAATGGGCAGCATGAAGACAGAAGCCAGTTTCTAGCTGTTTCTTTGGGCAGCCAAGTATTTTAAAGAATTGAATGGAATGCTTTTAGGTAGGATGGGATTTTCCTTGCTACACATCCCCCACCCCCGGTGTTTCCAGATTCATTATCCTGACATGGTCCCTCTGAGCATCTGAGTTTGCTGCCCTAGCTTTCAATTTGAGCTCTGAGGTCGCCAAAGAGATGAACTCTCTATCTCCCACCTCACTTTTCCCCAGCCTTTGTGGATGTGCAGACCTTCAAGACACTTATGACACAAGACGATGGACACCGGTGGGAGTGAGACATGAATACATTAAAGACCCTGCACTTAGGAACTGCATTAAGAGTAGATTCAAGAGGATGATTTCATTTATCCTCACAGCCTCTCTGTAAAGTGAAGAACGATAAGGGCAGGTAAAACAGGGTAAAGAGAGAATATCAATTGTTTCTAACATTACTATGGCACATCAACTGCAAGCCAGACATTTATAAAATGATGTTATTGTTAGCTGCCGCTGTGCCATCTTCATGATCATTGGCATGTTTGAGTCCATTGTTGTGGCTATTGTGTAGTGCCTTCCAACCTAGGAGACTCATCTCTCGTTATTATGTTGGACAATATTGTGCTGTGTTCCATAAGGTTTTCATTGGCTAATTTTCGGAAATAGATCACCAGACCTTTTTTCCTAGTCTGTCTTAGTCTGGGAGCTTCACTGAAACCCGTCCACCATGAGCGACCCTGTTGGTATTTGAAATACTACCGGCTTAGCTTCCAGCATCATAGCAACACGCAAGCCTGCACAGTACAACAAACTGACAGACAGGTGTTGGTAGAAAATGATTTAATCTGTAATTAGTAATAATAATAATATACTAACTAGTGATACTTGAGCCCTTATTTGCCAAGTAGTGTTGTAAGTTCTTTATATAAACTAATCTGTTTAATACAACAATTCAATGAGGTGGATACTATTCTTCATCTTGCAGTTGAGGAAACTGAGGTACAGAGAGGTTAAAGTATTTTGACGAAGTCACACAGCTAGGAAGTGGCTGAACTAGAATTTGAACAGATACGCAGACCCAGAGCTCATGCTTTTAACCACTACAATGAACTTTAAATAAATAAGCGTCTCTGGCTAAATGCTTTTCCAAGGAGTGCTTTGCAATCTCTGCTGAAAATCAGATTACAGGGGTTTTATTGTCTTCCATGCTGCCAGTGGTCAGCTGCTGTTTTGATGACAGGGGTGGGCCAAATCTGTCTTTCTCCTTAAAGAAATTATTGTTTGTATAGCTATGTTTAGTCTGAGTTTGAGGGAGTTCTTTCTGCAAATGATAACCCTCTTGGCTAACAGAGGCTTTAGCTAGACGGAAAGGCCTTGAGGGTTGGAATTATGTCTCCACCTTGAGGCACAGGAAAGTGGGACAGATAGTTATTGGGTTGAGGGAGAGGGTCCTAGAGGTTCCTGCAGCCTGAAGAGAAATTATCAAGTGTTTTCTGCATGAGGAGGCAGAGACCTCACGTAAAAGCACTCCCCAAGAGACAAAAGGAAAATGTCAGTAACAAAAGGGGAAGTTATCTGGGCCCTGCGGGGCCACCAGAGGTTAGGTTAAAAGAAAGGATGGGTGAAGGTGCACACATTACTGGTCCACAGTCCCTCAGTGCTCAGGTGAGCATAAGCCAGAGGAACAAAACTCAGTTTGGCTCTTCCTATCCCGCCATCCAAAGCAGAACTGTGAGGTTAGTTTTCCTACGTTCTCTTCTCCCATGGTACTTACCAGAGCTCTCTAATTCTACTCTTAAATCCCTTCCTCTGTCTTTCAAACCCCATGTCTTTTTCACCCTGAGCTTGGCCTGCTGGGGTGTAATGAATAATTTTAGAGCAATGGCTCAATGTACCCAGAAGTACCCTTTGGCCGTGGAGATTTGCATTTTTAAGAAGGAAACCTGGAGAGGGTAATGCTGGGCTTGTTAATGCTGGAAATTAAAAAAAGAAATGTGAGACAGCAATTTCTGGTTGGGGGACTATTTTGCCCCCATCACAGCAATAGGCAAATGCACTTCTTAAATGTTAGAATGATTTTACTTTCCTCTGATCCTACCCGACTCTATTTTAACCGCTTTCAGAGCTGTGACTTTTTCCTAAATGAGTGAGACAGAAATTTATTCCACCCCTCCCACCCCATGAAGTCTTACTCTTTCCCAGTCTAAACCAATCCCTTCTTACTCTGGGCTTCTTTGCTTATACATTTATGGCATTTATCATAACATGACATATATTATCTTGAGTTGTGTGTGAGTCACCTTCCCCCACTAGAGAGTGAGTTCCTCTTAGATGGAGGCTGTGGCTTATTCATCTTTGTATGTCCCGTAACATCTAGAAGAATCTTGCAAAATTCATTTCTTTCTCCTTCCCTCATTTCCTTCTCCTTTTTTTTCCCTCAGACATTTATTAAGCACCTGTCATATACTTGGAACAGTTTCGGTGTTCGGGACAAATAGGCAAGTTCCTCCCCTCAAGGATGTTATGGATTGGGAGCCGAGAATACAGATGTACAAACCATAGTTGGATAATGTATTAACATAATTCCTACACTAAAGGAATGGGCAAGAATTAGTGATAGCCCAGAGGAAGGAATGATTGAATCTGTCTGGAGAAAGAGGGAGAGAATAAACATTTACTAAGCACTCTTTGGAGCCCTGGTAATGCAGTGGTTAAGAGCTCAGGTTGCTAACCAAACGGTTGGCAGCTCGAATCCACCAGCTGCTCCTTGGAAACCCTATGCGGCAGTTCTGCTCTGTCCTATAGCGTCGCTATGAGTCGGAACCAACTCGACCGCACCTAACAAAAACAAGCACTCTTTATGTGCCAACTCTCATAGCAACCTTGTGAGTAAGTGTTATTATCTCCATTTTATTGATTGGGAGGCAAAGGATCAGATAAATTACATAACTTATCCAAGGACAAATCTTTAAAGTAGTGGAACCAGTATTATTATCCAACTCCATTAGACAGACTTTAAAGTTCACGTTATTTCCACTGAAACAGTTCACAGAGGAGGTAATATCAAAGTTGAATCTTGAAAACCATATGGGTGTTGACAGCTGGACAAAGAGAGAAAGAATATTACAGACAGAGGCAGCACCGGCTATGAGTATATGAAGGTGAACTAGCCTAACACATAATAGCATAGTCTGCAGTTGTTGTGAGCTCAGAGTGTGAGTTGGAATGATACTGGGCCAGTACATGAAGTCTGAGTGATGCAGGGTGTGGCTGGATTGGTGAACAAAGAGCTAGTTCCTGAAGAGCCTTTTGTTCCATAGTAAGAAGTTTTGATTCTATTCTGTGAGTGATAGGGAGCCATGGATGGTATAAAGCAGGGCACTAATGTGACTATACTTGCATTTAAAATGATAACTCTAATAGCAATGTCCACCACCTGTCTGTCAGTTTGTCGTACTGCAATGGCTTGCATGTTTCTAGGATGCTGGGAGCTATGCTACCAGCATTTCAAATACCGGCAAGATATCGCATGGTGGACAGGTTTCAGTGGAGCTTCCAGACTAAGACAGAGTAGGGAGAAAGGACTGGCGATCTACTTCTGAAAATTAGCCAACAAAAACCCTATGGATCACAACAGAATATTGTCCAATATAGTTCTGGAAGATGAGCCCCTAGGTTGGAAGGCACTCAAAATACATAGTGGCCACAACAATGGACTCAAACATACCAGTGATCATGAAGATGGTGCAGGACCAGCTAAATTTGGTTCTGTTCTACTTAAAGTCACCATGAGTTGAAGCCCACTCATGGCAACTAACAACAACAACAACAACAACAATAGCAATGTAAAGGGCACATTAGAAGCATAAGAGCCAGGAGGCTGGGAAGCCAAGGAAGAGATGTCCAGATTCCACCTTTACAGATTTCCACCCAGGGCCTTTGTGCTTCACAACTCCACGAAGCACTGGTGACATAATATTGTATGAGATGCTTGTCCCTAAGCTGTGCAGCTGCCCCATTCCATACTACAGGATTTCCTCTTCCCATACCTTGTCATGTGTTTCTATAATTGCACCTGTAATACTTGTGTTGCAGTTTTGCAAATTTACATGCTTGCCTTCCTTTAATAGATTATGAGGCGTTTAAGGGCAGAGACTACAAATATCACCAAAAATTCCAAGACTCAGAGGTTAAGCCAGTTAACATCTTACTGTATAATGTTTGGAATTTTTTATGCATACATTGTCATGAATGTTTTAAAAGGATCTTTATACACCTTGTCAAATTACTGCCCAGCAAGGAGTATGCCAATACATGCTCCTACTTTCTGTATATCAGCACCTTGATTATTAGAATTTTTAAAAAGTTAACTATGTTGGGAAAGAATATCTCATTATTTTATTTAGAATTTACATTACTCTAATGTTCATGATTATCATTTTGCATGTTGATTTTTTTATTTCTATTTCTTCTCTGGTGAATTGATTTTTACAAAATGACAATCACCCAAATATCCATCACATAGAATTAACTGCTGTTTTTGTTTTGGTATAATTGCTCTCAATCTTGTTTATTTTTATAAGTTGTCGAAGTTACACAAATAGTTTATGACAAAATTGTCTCTTTTTAATAAAAAAGAATATTGTACATCAAGCTAAAAATGAGAAAGAGAGAGCGAGCAAGCAGAGAATCAGTCTTTCTCTACTCTTTACTCACAGCATTGAGCACAGGGACTGGAACACAGCAGGCGCTCCATAAATATTTCTTAAATGAGTAAACGAATGAAAAAATTCCACTGTAGTCTGAAATGATTACATGATCATGAGCTGGACATTCTTGAGTTAACAATCTCAATCATTTATTTGAGTGATCTTGAACAGATTATTTAATCTCATGGAACCTCTGTTTGCTCAACTCTAAAAATATAAATAAAAAAACCTAGTACGTGGAATTGTCATGATGTATGTAATATGTAAAGTGCCCCTATCAGCTCTTAGCTGTAGTAGCACTTAATAAACGGTAGGTTTACTTTTAGCTATAGCAAATGCCATCAGTGTTGCTCATACAAACCCTACAATTAAAGGTACTCCAGCCAACTTCCAACCTTTAGTATCTGCATTTCCGTGCTAGAAGGTTCTTTCTAGAACTGCAGGAGACTGTGCTGCCTGCGTTCAGCATGCAGGAAGTGCTGGAATGTCAATAGCAATGACTGACTGATGGGAGCTGGTGTACAAATACCCAGCACCCTCAAACCTCAGGTGGGCTAACTCCGAAGTATGTGTCCTACATGAGTCTTCAGAGTCCCTGTGGGAGTGAACTCTAGTCAGCCACAGAGACAGCTGGTTTAATTTGAAAAAAAAAAAAAACAGTTGCCATCAAGTCTACTCCGACCCTTGGTGACCCCATGTGTGTCAGAGGAACTGTGCTCCACAGGGTTTTCAATGGCTGATTTTTCAGAAGTAGATCACCAGACCTGTCTTCTGAAGTGCCTCTGGGTGGACTCGAACCTCCAACTTTTAGTTAGCAGCTGAGCTCATTAACTGTTGCACCACACAGGGACTCCTCATAGTGCACCCTTTAGTGGCCGCATTTTCTTCTCTATGGTACTTCTCCTCTCCCCTACTGATGTTCCTGGCACTTCCCAAATAAACCATTTGCTTCTTAAATCCTTGTCTCAGGTTCTACTTTTGGGGGAATTTGGAATTTTCTTTAAATATCTAATAACTATTATGAAAAAGGAGCAGATGAAATTTTCACATTTTGGAGAATTTTGGAAAAAAAAAACTTTTAGAAATGGTATTGTTAGCTGTGGCCGAAGTCTAATGAGATTTTTCTTGATTATTGATTACAGCAGGGTCCATAACCCATATTTGATATCACTTGGATCAGTCATGGATCCCATCTCTGGAGGCTTGATTACTGGAAGTACCTCATTGTCCTGTTACAATAGTCTTAACCCTTAATAGCTCAATAACATGGCCCACTGGGACAGGATTATGGCATATTTCTGCTGTTCTTGGGAAAATTCCAGACCCATTAGATATCATCCGTGGGGAGGCCTTATATAGTAAAATGAACCAGAACTTCACTCGTGTAACCGCTTCTTCTTTTCTTTTTTCTCTCCCTCCACCTGCACTTCTCTCCTCCCTACAATCTTCCAGGTGTGGTTTCAGAACCGAAGAGCTAAATTCCGCAGGAATGAGAGAGCCATGCTGGCCAATAAAAACGCTTCTCTCCTTAAATCCTACTCAGGGGAGGTGACTGCCGTGGAGCAGCCCATCGTCCCTCGTCCTGCTCCGAGACCCACCGATTACCTCTCCTGGGGGACGGCCTCTCCGTACAGGTGAATGACCGGCCCGCTCTCTCCCTTGCTCCACTTCCCGCGCTTCTCAGCGTGGGGCGTGTTCAAAGCTGCCTGTGCAGCTGGCTGACGTTTCTTACTGGGTTAACCTCTTCAGAAACATTCAACTTGCTGACATCCCCAGATTTTCACAAGGGATTACTAGTTGCCCCAGGAGCAGGGTTTGGGGCAGAAGAGAGAGGGGCAGGCCCTCAGCAGTCTCCTCTTGGACTCAGGAACTCTTGCAAAGGTTTCAAAGATGGGAAAGAATCTAAAAGTAAAGATCATTAAGCTGTGCCCAATGTCCCACTTGCAACCATTCTGGAACAAAATTTTACTCCATATCCAAACTTAAGACAGAATTGTTTTTTTATATACTCAAGTAGGAACTTAACTTGTGAGGCTCTAAGTGTGGGACTGAAGGGAAATGTCACAGTAAACTTGATTTCTAACAGAGGGAAGAAAGGACAAAAGGAGGAAGAAAGGGAGGGAGAGGGAGAGGAGGAAGAAAGAAAGAAGGAAAGGAGGAAGGAAAGGAAAAGAAAGGATGAGAGAAAGAATGAACAAACGAAAGTAAGAAAGAAAGAAAACCCAAGTTCATTCTGATCACTTTCCTGGCCACAGTTCTTTGTTAGTAGGTAGGGATGTCTTATGATCCAAAATGCCTTCCTATTCTATTGCTAATTCTTATCTACGTGCCTAAAGGTTTCTTTAGGGGTCAGTTTGTATGTGTGGTTTTTTTTTAAAAAAACATAAAAAGAATGTAAAACTTTTATATTACAAAGGTGAAAATTTTCAAAGAAGAAAATAACAGAAAATACTATTTCAATCTCATGGAGAGGCTTTCGACCTCCATTTATTATGCTGTTCAAATGATATAGGGAAAATATAGAAGGCAAGCTGAGACACAAGTGCCTAACACATTGTGATTAGCCTAGAGTGCCTTTCACTGAATCTAAACCTGAGTACTCTGAGAAACCAGATCAAGGCTGAAGATCCAATCTGGCCAATTTTGGTGGAGGAAGAAGTATTCACAAATTCATTTATTATGCTTTTGTTTACCTTTTTATTATTACAGTTAATTTTTGGTTTAAGGAGAGCTTTAGACTAATTATAGACTATCTCAAGCTGAAGCTGAGCTCCTGATTTGAAATGCCACGTTTGTGAAATGCAATTGCCTTTCAAAGGCTGATGACCCTAATCAAAGGGAAAGTCCTTGCCTAAATGTGCTTTCTGTTCCAAATTAGTTCCTTGAAAGAAACATCATAAATGCATTTGGAAATTTCTTTTGTATCTTCCCATGTGAAATTAGCCAGAATTACTTTGGTCTTAGTACGTAGAGACCTCATGCCTGGGGAAGTCTTAATCTGGCCCTCATTGCTCTCAGACATGGTGTGCCTTGTTGATTCTGAGAGATTACTCACACCTGTGTGTCCTGGTTAAAATTTAGACTCCTCTCCCATAGGAATGTTTACTATATGTTTACTCTAAAAACATTGTGAAGTGCATTCTGAAATCACATATTCTTTAACATTGGAAGGCTGATTTTTTTCTCTTATAAATATTGGCAGTTGATGACAGACCCACTAAATGGCTTGGGAAATGGGTGTGGTTCAAAGCCTGATGTTTCGAGGTCTCTGGTTTGAATTTGGTTACAACCAGGAAGTATTGCTCCTTTTCCTGCCTGAGTCCTAGTTAGGAACTTTTGCAGCAGCTGTAAACAGTCCAGATGGCTGTCATGTAGTCCTTGCCAGTGAGATGCTGAGGGCAGAATACTGTATGAACGAGGGATTGAAATTCTCCTGAATTATAATTGGATTGGATTACTGGGCTCAGCAGAAGTTCAAGCCCTGGTGTCTGCATCATATGTATTCTGTATATGAGCATCTAACTGGAACTATTAACATGGCCATGTGCCTTTTGGGGAAATATTCTATTTTAACTGAAAAGATTATATAGAAATACTAGATAACTTAAAAAAATCACCCAGAATTCCACTATCCCGACATAACTAGTTTGTTCATTTTTGCCATTAGAGTTCAATATTTTCTATAGGTGTAGTCTTAGTGTACATATTATTTTGTATTTTTCTCTTTTTACATAAAATCATATAGCCTAGTACTTATTTCATGGTATACTTTTATATCGTTTCTTGTTTAGATACAGCTTGTAAAAATTAATTAAAACAATATCATGGAATCTTATTGTTCCTATTCTGTGTGAAGAATAAACTAATCTCCAGAAATAAATTGAGAAGTGATGGATTAAAGCAGTAATTTAATCTGTAATAATGCTTTTGACCCAATGTTGACCTAAGTGTTTATATTTTGGTTAATTACTAAAAGCAGTAAACAGCTGTTCTGTTACTTAGAGATTTTTCTGTGATGTTTAGAACCAAAATATATTATCATTTCATTCATGTTTTGAAGCTTGGAAGGAAATATCACTATTGTTAAGGAGATATAAAAGGAGAATAAGTGACAAGAAGCAAAGGAAATGTTAGACCTTTTGTGCTCTAGAAAAGTAACTCGCTATTCTTGTTGGTGCCGTTATGTCAAATTAGTTATCTCACATGTGACATTCATTAAAAGGCTTTTCTCTTGGTAATCCTTGGAACACTGCTGTGTGGTAGCTCTGTCCTTGCTCTAGTTCCAAAGAAGAGGAAATGGAACACTTGCCCAAGTTTAAGTTTTCAGCCTACAGAATTAGAATCAGTACTTGTGGTGCCTGTTTCTGTCCAACATATTAGGCCACATGACCATAAACTTTACATTACATTAAAAGTGGTAAAACGTATAAAACTGGAAAAATATCGGAACATCACCTTTGGTTTCAGGGTCTGTTCTCCGATCAAGGAAGCATGCCTTCAGCTGAGGTCCACATTCTGGGGTGTGTGGGCATCATCACATTGGGGTGACCCATGTGGCTGGGTCTTGCAACCCAGGGACACTGAGCAGGCAGCTCTGCAAGAGAGGACAGTTTGACTTCCACAGCTCTCCCCTTGAAGAAGAAAGGAGCAAACCAAGGCTCAAAAGCGATTGTTTGCATATTGTCAGAATCAAGGGCTGGGAAATAGCCAACACATTTTTTTTTTTCTGGGTGTCATTTATATCCTGAGTGACTGTATAATTTATCATCCAAACTGGGGCGCTTTGACAGTGAAAGGGGAATGCTATTAATAATTGCTCTAGGACAACAGGCATAAGCTGAGATTGTCCCTGGCAAACTGGAACATATGGTTCTCTATTTATAGTACGGCATGACCTGGTTCATTACCCTGAGCACTTTTGAGCAGGTCAGGCAGGCAACTGAGTCACCAGAGAGAGCAAAGAATTAACACTACTGTCCTGGCAGGTGTCTTCTGTATCTACCCACAGTCAGTTGAAGGAAGCTTGTTTTTGGCACAGACCCCACTGCTTAGCTCAGAACTATTTTCCTTAGGCAAATTGTGGGGATAAAAGCACAGACAAGCACCAGAGTTATAAGACTCACTAATCTTGCAGTGCTTTGCCTCTTGGGTAGCAGTGATTAACCTAGTCCTGGACTTTTGACTGTTATTTGAGATGAAGTGGCCAAAAAACCTTTCCCCAGAGAGATTCTTTCCTGTAAGAGGTAGACAGAGAATGGCCGGGCTTTGCAGTGTTGGTTTGGAGTGCTATTTCCAGAGGGTGGGCTGGGCTTAACAAAATAAAACAAAAAAAACTAATGACAAGTAAAAGAGCGGCATCTCTCCTTGTCCACTGCTTCCCTCCCCCATCCTCCTCCTCCTCCTCTTCCCCTCATTTGATCGTGGTCACAGTGCTGCCTGACATCTGCTGAACGCATTTGGCTCATTTCTCCCTTTCACACTTTCAAAAATAGATCCTCGTCCCTCCCAAGATGTTGTTTACACGAGGGGCTTCATAACGGATTCTAACGGAAGACACTGAAAAGGTAACTTGTCAGAGGGGGAAGAGGGCGGTTGCTGGGGGTAGGGTTTAAGTGGGAAGTAAGTATGTTCAAGAAAGTGGGGTTTGCAGTCCTAGAAATGTAAGCAGTGAGATCCTGGAGTAGGGAGTACAATTGGAAATTGGAGCTACAGGAAAAGGTGTCCATATAAGTAAGGGTAGTCCAGAACAGTGTTCCTCAATGATGACTGTGCATAGGAATCACCTGGGATCTTGTCACAGCGCAGACTCTGATTCAGTGGGTCTGCAGCAGGGCCTGAGATTTTGCATCTCAAATCCCTCCCAGGTGATGGCGATGCTGTTGACACCTGGTACATACTTTGAGTAGTGAGGCTTCAGATGACTGTAGAGAGTGGGACAGGGGTTAGAAGAACTATGTTCTTGTCCTGGCTCCTGTTGTACCCCAGGCCAGTTGATTCATTGATCTCTTATGTAGTCTTTGCATCTAAAATTGAGCTACCGATGGTTTCCCTATTATATATACCACAGGGTGTTTGGGACCTATAGGTAAGCGTTAAAAAAAAAAAAAAAAAAAGCCCTTGAAACAATAAAAAGATGCAAATCACTTTATATAGTAAAACATTCTATTAAGAAAAGTTAAAAATAGCAGAAGGAACACAATATGCAGTGGAAATTGAAGACTTACTAATGAAATGAAGTGTGTTCAGTTTAAAAAGCAAATATATATTTAAAAAGTCAACTTCTGAATTTTAAAAACAGAAGTTAGAAATGATTATTTAAGTCATAAAAAATCACTTCCAAAAGGGTATATGGTATCTCCCTGGGAAAACTGTCATTGAATGTTATTAGATGAAGCAAATAGACCTCCACTGTTCTCGCCTTGACCAAAGGACAAACCAAGAGATGACCTCCTATTCCCATACATCACAGACTGAGTCGTGAAATGCAAAGAATAGCAAGCTCTATAGCCTTTAGAAAACTCTGAGCTGGTAAAACCCTCGGATCTCAGGAAAACTGCCAGACTTCTTGGGCTGACAGATTTGTCTTTGGGGTCAAATTTTAAATAGCACACCATCATTTGTCCAAAAGGGCCAAAAAGAAAACAAAATTGAAGTTGAAAACTAAGTCTGGTATTCTTCTTCACGATATCCCCAATTGTCTCATGATTTGTAGGACTTTTATACTCTGAGTGATTAGAAAGAAGAGGGGCAGATGTCCATACATTTCCTGGCCTTAAAATCATACCATGTATAATATATCCCATACTTCCTTGGTGTTTGGAAATCATTTTAATACGTTCTTCCTCATGACAGACAACTTTTCGGGGTAGGTTGAAATGATCAGCAATGATTTGTCCCCAGAGAAAACAGTTAGAATTCTAACCCCACTAGTGGTTAGCATTGTCATGTCTCTTGGCTGAGCTACATCTGCTAGGAATCTCCAAATATGGAGATGGAAAAATTTCAAGCTTGCTTAAATGTGTCATCTCAGTGCAAGTCCCAGTACAGACTTGCCGAATCAACAGATGTGATACAAGCACTTCTTTCTCATCTCTAATTCCTCAATGCACTTCATTTGGCTATATAGATTCTTGGTAACAGACACAACTTTATGTTCTTAAAAACTAACTAGAAAACGTGCGTTCGCTAAAACCGGTAAACCCACTCTCAGGACTTGGATGTGTCAGTGTCTGTGTACTGCTGAGAGGAACAGATGGCTCTCACTCAGAGCAATTAGCAATTAAAATTAAAATTGAAATAAGTACTGTACTGAAAAGTACAAGATGTTATAGGAGAACCTACCTTATCTAGAGGGTTAAGATCATCTAGTAGACATGATGAATGAGTGGAGCAAGCAAAGGTGGGATCTCAGGGTGCTGGTAGGCCGGCTCTCGGTGGTTATCATGTGCTTCATCTATACAAATCACTTAGCTTAAATCTTACCTTCTTATCCCAGGGAGTTTAATCCTGTACAGGAAGGAGTGTGCAGTTTACATGGTTTGAATGGTCCTATAAAATGGGTTAAATAGCTACTTGCCCTCACCACTTTCTGTCTTGTAAGAGAACATTTGAGGCTTCTCTCTCTTTTCCAAAAACAGAGCTTTAGAAGTTTCGATGACATACAGAACAGGTGGTCAGGAACAGTCTGTCAGATTGACAGCTGCTCAAGGCCGTTTTGCATCTGTTGTCCCTTTAGGGAGAAGGTCCTCTCCACGTTACTTCTAATGCCATTTTTAAAGCATGACTAAGCTACTTTTAGACGACCCACTCATTAATTCTGTCCTTTATGACCTCTAACAAGTCTTGTTTGTCATTGCCCAAATTGAGAATCTAGACTCATGTCAAAGCTTTGAAGAGAAAAGGGACTTTTGTAATTCTTTAGTATGTGCGCAACATATCACTGGAGTCCCTGCTTGTGGTGTCATAGGTTCTAAACATTTGTTAAGCGGCTATGAATGAAAACTTCCTAATTTTTTTTTAACTCTACTTTTATGGCTATGAAAAGCTGGAACAAGTTACATCAATTTTTGAAAGTTTATAACTTTTCTAAACATTTACCAAGTAAAAATGTTATCACTGATTGAGCTCCTAGGGAATTGCAAAACTCATTTGTTAATATCAATTGCTTTGTTATCCTCACACCCACTAGCTTGAGTGCTACACATAGGGCATTGTCACAGCCTCACTAATACACTGGTGTCCTTATAACAGCAGTAATCAGACAAGGCTGCTGCTCTCCACTCTGGGAACGTCAGACTGCCATAAAGTGGAAGTGTTCTGGAGACAGTCCAATCTCCTACTCAAAATATAATTCTAATTTTCATTAATCTGGTTTTGAGATAGAAAGTGAATCAACATTCATCCCATTTGGATATTACTACCTGGCCTGCATGATGAAGAGAACCTCAGTATTTCCAAGAAATAAGTTACCATGCTAAGTTCTCAGACATATATCAGATGATTAAGTTAGTAGGCTATGAAGTAATTACAACAAAAATGTTTATGTAATAGGTAACATTGAAATCGCTGCTATAGCAGACATTTTGAGAAGACAGTAATGGCATCTTCAGTACACTAAAATGATCCTCCAAGGTTCTGATTCCCTTTGTCTGCTAAGGAAATGGACCAAAGCCTTAACTGTTAAAGAAGGGATTTAGAATCCATGCGTGAGTGTGGGGTGGGGGGCGGGGAACAAAACTTTGGCCAGAATCTCAAAGGATAGAAAAAGTATCCCTCAGAAAACCAGTCCAAGTACTTAAAAGCACAATACTTCATGACAATCTATATTTATCATAAGAGAATTTCATTTTAGGCTTTCGCATGAAGTTTTCAGAACCATTCGATTTTATTCTCAGTACTTCGCAAATAATACATATAACTTGCGTTTCCAGCTTCTTTTCTATTTATTTAAAATGGTACTAATCAATGTACTATCTTTGGGGCTTAATTCTCTCACAGAAATCTAGTTAAGAAAGGTTGATTTAATTGATGTCATAATAACCCATGGCTAGGTACATTTCCCAAATGCAGTCATCTCTTTTCTTAGCTACCTAGATCTTTGGGTCCTTGGCATATCCTAGAAACTTCTTGAGCATAGGTTTTATGAATTTGTGTACATTCCTGGTAAGGTCTCAAATGGAAGCATGTAATTCATATAGGAATTAAACGATATGTTTATAGGTTTTGAAAATAAATGACATTTCTTGGTACATTGTTAAAAAACTTGGCCCATCTTAATCTGTTACTTTAGTCATTTATCTTACTCCTAATTAAAACCTACCTTAACTGGGAACTCTTCTGCTTCTGTCCTTTGGTAGAGAGTGGTAGACGTAATAGTCTATTCTATAAGTGTAACCTGTATTAATATTTGTACATTTTTATTATGAAAATGCATTTTTTGATAGATACAAGAATATGCAATCGTCAGCCGTTGCTTTTGTCATTTCCCTCCTGATTTTGCTCTTTCTATTAAGATAGCAAATTTAATTATAAGCACTAGTTCCTAAGCACATTGATAATTTTTTTTAGAAATCATTACTCACAGTCGAATGGAAGAGATTGATGACATTGAGCAGGAGTCAGTTTAATCATAGTATATCTAGATGTTTTTCATTTATTTATTCATTAGACAACTTATTGGACACCAAGTATGTGCCAGGTATGGTGTTAACTTTACCTGAGGCTATAATGGAGAACAAGGCAGATGAGGTCTCTGATTTACAGAGCTTATAGTTGAGAAAAGGTATAGATATTAAATAAATTATTAGTAATTAAAATTGAAATAAGTGCTGGAATGAAAAGTACAAGATGTTATAGGAGAACCTACCTTATCTAGAGGGTTAAGATCATCTAGTAGACATGATGAATGAGTGGAGCAAGCAAAGATGAAATAGAAGAAACTAGGATTCTTTTTGTAACCCTTCTAAGTCTTCTTCCTTTAACTCTCTCTCTCTCACACACACACACACACACACACACACACACACACTTGCATTCATACACACATATCAGTATTGTAGGGATTTTGAATTAAGGATGTGATTTTCTGGAAAGACCTAGTGATATGGGACTAATTATATTTCTTTAATTTTCTTGTGTTAATTGCTAGTAACTGAGCAGAAATGGACAATTGTGAGTCTTGACCATGAGTCTTGACTGTGAAGTCTTGACTATGTGGTGTTCCAAATAAGTATTAATGATATATTCTCTACATTTGTAGAGTAGCTTTAATTTTCTCTTTTCCTGGTCTTGTCACTTGATCCTCAGAACCACAAACTCCTGTGTGGCTGACAAAATTCCACTGGAATGCAGGCAACAGAAAAGCACATGCTATTCCATTTATAAATCTACCTCATTCCAACCCTGCAATTGAAAGGGATTTTGCTAAGCTTAAGAAACAATTAGAAACATTTTCATTTTATTAAAATGAATCCCTTTTTAACTGTTTAGTATAAAGTAATGAATAATTTGGATCCAAGTCTAAAAAAAAATTATTTTTTATTTAAAAGAAATGCTTGGATGCAATTAACAGAAAAACACCAATTACAAATTTCTGCCCAGCAGTGTTTCTAGGTCTTAATTACAATCTCTGACAATGAAAAACAACTTCATGTTTTTCTAAGCAATAAAGACGGTGAGAAGCTATTACTTCTGAGGCCAGGAATCCTGAAACTGGAGCTTTTGATAGTTTATCTAGGATATTTAAAATAACTGACTCAAAAGGCAGTGTGAGATACAAGTACTTTTGAAGAGAGGTTATAGAATCAGGGCCATAGGGATGGGAATATCTTGATTCAGTATTACTCGGCACTATCCACCGAACGGATTAAGAACTGCAGAGAAGTTATCTTGGGTTGTTTAACTGATTCTCCAAGCATGCTATTTAATATGGTATTTGATTATCTCAAATGTGTTAGAATTAAGGCTAGCTACCTAGAAATGATTAGTAAGAGTGAGGAAGGCAAAATTCTCTTCAGTTTATTTTCAGATGCATACTTCTCTTCTTCATTGCTCCCACAGGCTGGCGATATAGGCAGGAAGAGAGATTAAACTTAATTGGTCAGCTGATGAAACACCTGCTCTTCAACATAAGCAACTTTCTTCTGTCACCCCAGAAATAAATCATTACTCACTGTGTCCAGCACAGCAGATACCTTTCCCTCTTCTTGTTCCATCCCCCGTCATTTTTCCTTGCCTTTTGCAACGCTGCTACACTTCTCCAAGTGCCTTAGGCTAATGGAACGCTGGGTGAAAAGGGAACAAAGAGAAAGAAACATCTAGTCCCATCTGCCTGCCCCCACCTGCCCCCATCCTGACAGTACCTCCATCGTGGGCCACAGACTTCAGACTTTGTGAAACTAATGCCTGTTATTCTCCCTGCTCTCTCCTTTGTCCCTACAGCGCCATGGCTACTTATTCTGCCACATGTGCCAACAATAGCCCTGCACAGGGCATCAACATGGCCAACAGCATTGCCAACCTGAGACTGAAGGCCAAGGAATATAGTTTACAGAGGAACCAGGTGCCAACAGTCAACTGAGGAAAAAAAACAAAAAGCAAAAAAAAAACAAAAAACAGGCCTAAGAAGAAATCAAAAACCATAAGACACCTATCCTGCTCTGTCATTTCTTCATCTGCTGGGAAAAAATAAAAACAAACAAAAAACAGAACTAAAATATTGGGACCATGGCAGAGAAAAACAGGAGAGGAGCAAAATGAAAATTAGTTAACAAATGTTCCTCCTTCCTCTGGGATACCACCACCACTTGTTTCTGTGTGTGTTTATTTTGTTTTCCTTCCATTCATGCTTTGCTTAATATACTCCGAGCTTCTTCAGTTAGGTCCAGCCCACCCACCTCTTTGGTTGTATGAGATTAAAAAAAAATCTACAGCAACCAAAAAAACTATATATATATACTCACAATAAGTGTCTATAGTCTCCTCGTTGACCTGTTTGAACCTCAGTGGCTTCCCCTGTCTTTCTTCACAATTCTCTTCATATAAGCTCTAGGAGCTGTTGAAAAGCCAAAGTCTTTCTGAAAAATTTGTGTCAGACATGATTCCCTTTCTCATTGCTTCCATCTCTGTTGGTCATGGTAAGGTTTTTGAATCAGCTGCTGGGAAAAAAAAAATTTGTGTACAACATCTGGTCACTGGCCTGTCTGATCCAATGTGATTTGCTGTGTCTGGCCAATTCTAAACTCCAAGCTATAGATCTAGGCTCTTGATATAAGCTCTAGATTTAAGCTCTAGGCTGTAGATCAGAATATCGCCATTACCACCATCCCTCACCCCCATCCAATCAGCCATCGTAAGTTTAAAAATATTTGTTGCTTTTGAATGATTTGCTGTCACAGGCTATTTGATAGAATAAATACTTTTCCTTTGAGACAGGAAGATAAATTTCTCTAGGGAAACAAAGACTGAGTGGAAAAAGGCATTGCCTACATCTCTTCGGTGCCTTGGATAAAGACTAGTCACATGCACACATATATATACTGTATATATTTATATATTTTATATATATATAAAATATTCATGCAAGCTTGAGTTTACAGTTTCTCGAACACTACAGAAAGCAAATTTCACACTATCACTGCTTTTCTTATTTCCACAGTGATGAGACTTATTAATTTGTAATCTTGCTTCTTTTCTTTCTCTACACAAAATTCTCATTAAGGCCATAAGCAATTGATAGGTCAGCTCTTTGAGAACAGGTCTCATCTTCACATTATGGCTTTAGATGAGTTAGAAACTGTTTGAGGCTGTAAAAACAACGTGCTTTCCTTTGGAGCCCAAGCTCCAATGGAATGATGATACGTGCTGATCTACCATGGGAATTGCACTTAGAGAGGAGGAAAAGCCATTTAGCCATTTGCCTTTTCTCCACTCAACAGGAAATTGAAAGACACATGTTTAAGAGGAATACTTAAAGGTTTGTCTAAATTCCAAATATTTAAAAGGCAATTGTGGGCTATTTTTTAACATTTTGAAATAAAGTTTAGTGTCTAGAGCTGGAAGCCAGGACTGATCTTTCTATGTTTCTTTCTCTTTGTTCCCAGCTGGGCTTTTGAAACTTCCCAGGTGTACTTGACCAAACTGCATTACCATGCTGTGCCTCAGTCTGCCTGTTTGTAAAATGGGTTTAACAATACTTACCTACCTCACAGGGGTGTTGTGAGGCTCTATTCATTTGCTCCTTCCTTCTTTCCTGTATGTCCTGTAAGTCCAGCACTTTGTAGCCACGGGAGGGAAGGGACTATAACAGTGTACAATATTAACAGAACAATATGGTACCTGGTAGCCTTGTTTTCTAGCAAGGAAATGCTACCTTGCTGTAAATACTATAACCTTGTATTTGGAAATGAGAAATAGATTTATATTTGCAGATCTCTCAAACATCACATCATTTGACCAAAGAGTAATTTAAGCCACATGCAACAAGCTTTTTTTTTTACTTATATTCTCATCTGACCAGCTTGGTGCTAATAATTTTAATTATTAGTGATTAAAAAGCTTTAGATTGACTCTGGCCAAATATGCTAACTTTGTACTATGAGTGACAGGCAAGCAATTTTGGTTTTAAGGTACACTTTCTATGCGAACTTGTACTTCCCTTGGCATATCAGACTTAACAAATGGTATTTTTTTTAAAACTAATAGCCACCAATCTGAAAATGTATTCTAAATGTTACATAAGTGCTTCTTAGAATAACAAGGAGGAAGCCCATCTGATGCTTTCATCAACTGATTCCTTCTTTTAAACCACTTTGAAAACGTTTCTTACTGAATGGGTCATGCAGGCTGGCTGAACAATGCTTATTACCTGCTTCCTAAAGTGCCCCTCAACTCATTCTTTTGTTTTACCAGCCACTGAGGATTATCAGATTCCAAATCAGCAGTGCATCCTAACAGACTGAAACATTCTTTGATTTGTGAAGTGAGTGCAATCCAAGAAATTAGTGGATTTGTAGTACTCAGAGCTTGGGGAGAACAGCGAAAAGAGGATTTGGGTTATAGTGCAGGGAACTGAGAAGGGAGATCATCAGCGAGGATGTAGAGAGAGAGTGGGTCATGTGAAACAAAGTCACTTAAAATCTTTATCCTGACAATCATTTTCAGTGGAGAACAGAAAAACCTGAACCCATAATCCGAATGCTGGGTGAAACTGGCCAATGCCTGGCCAGGCAGTATCTGGGAGCATCATATGTAGCGTAGCCAGTACTGGTCAGCCCTAGGAGCTTCCATTGCTGGTGATCCCATACCCCAGGTATCTATTATCTAAGCACTTGATCAAGAGGCACACATGTGGTGCAAGCACTCATTTTTGTTTGTTTATTGTTGTTGTTTTTTTTTAATGATAGAAGTTTTTATACATGACTTGGAGGAGTCGTCTGGCTCCTAAACCACATGTCGCGGAGGCCCTCAGGGCCACAAAGGCACATCCCTGTTCATCACCGTCACTGATATACAGATAACAGATGAATACATGCAAACAATCTCTCTGTGCCCCTAATCCTTCCCCAAACAAGATGTTGATTTGTAACGTACTTGGCATGTTCAATCAAACCAGAAAAGACGAGGGGATTAAAAAGGGAATGACATTTAGGGTATAAAGATCTCATAAGAAATGTAATATGTAAATTATATCTTGCTTTATGATGTAAAATATACATTGTTTGCGCTAGAATAGAAATTATTCCTTTTCAATAAAAAGAAAGAAGGATACTAGTATGTCTTTTGGTATATATTTGAGTCTGTTGATTCTTTTCTTTTTGAACTTCAAAAACACAGATCTGCTAGGATCTGAGATTACATTCAGAAAAGCGTGAAAACATGAATATTTTTATCAGAGTCTGACATTTCGTATAAAAGAGAAAAATAACTTATTGTTGTTCAAAAGCAAATATAATTGTGGGAGCAAGAGGGGACATTTATTAGCATAATGGGTTAAGTATGGAATGTAATTTCATGAAAGAGTTTAGCAGATTTTTACTAACATATTTAGCACCCACAATACCAGGTACCATATAATAAGAAATAATTCCCATAAAGCATGGCCTTTAATTTTAAAATAAAGAAGTAGCAAAATAAGATTTCTTAGGCACCTATTATGTATACCATTGGGTGTGTGGTAATGGGGAAAACAGATAAATTGTGAGACAAAGGTTCTGTTTCTATACAAATTAAAATCTGATTTAAAAGGCAAGTGTAGCATGAACAAATTATTCAACAGTTCAAGACAATTAATTCAAGTGTCAAACAAATAGAGCAGGCAGCAGGAATTCAGAACAAGAAGAAAGTATACACTGTATGCTGGAATGGGAGAGGATTTCATGGAGGAGCTGGGACTGGAGTCTCATCAGCAAGGATTTGGTGAAGAGTTGGTGGATACAGGCATGAGAAATTCGTGTTCAGGAACTATGGCAAGAGGGGCCTGGACAGGATGGAGAGTTTATTTTGAAGCAGAATGGAAGAAAAGATTAGAGATTCATGAGCCTTCCTCTTGCAAGGTGCTGAGTGTCAGACAAAGGAATCTGGACCTTTCCTCAGGCCATAGAAATCCACTGAAGGTTTTCAAGCAGGAAAAAAAAAAAAAGCCATGCAAAAAATGCTACTTTAACAGGATTATTCTGGTAAGAGAATGAAGATAAGCTAGAGCAGAACAAGAACTGGAAGCAGTAAACCAAATAGAGCTCCTTGCAATGAGAACCATTAAGAAAGGAAGAATCGGAAACACCTTGCAAGGGAAGAAGAATCAATAGAATTTCAAGGTAAATAAAAGAAAATGGCATCAATGATAACACTGTTTTGGAATCTAAAGACTAGGAGAACGAATCATGGACAAAATGAACAAAAACTGACAAACAAACAAAAACCTAGGGAGTAACCTAGTTTTAGTTCATTTTAGATGTACTACTGAATTTGAAAACTCAAATGTAAATGTTCAGTAAATGAAGATATAAAGTTAGGTTTGGTACCAAGATCAAGAATGAAGATACATGCAGTCCCCAACTTATGATGCATTAGAGTTACAGGCCCTGGTGGTGTGGTGTTTAAGACCTCAGCTGCCAACCAAAAGGTCAGCAGTTCAAATCCACCAGCCACTCCTTGGAAACTCTTTGGGGCAATTCTACTCTGTCCTATGGGGTCACTATGAGTTGGAATCAACTCTACAGCAATGGGTTTTGACCATCCTTTTTTTTTTTTTACATCTTATTGTTAGTAATGTGTACTACACACAATGTTGCAGTGTCTAATTTGCTGATGTCATCATATCTGTAAGTTTATATGTAATATTTCCAACCCTTAAAGAAAAATAATGACCAGATTTATAAAAATACTGATAATAAAAGGCAAAGATAATGAAAACTAAAAAAAAAAATGAGGTATTCAACTTACTTCAGAACCCACTTAACAAAAGAGTCAGCAGAATGGAACGGTTGTAAGTCAGGGACTACTCGTATAAATCTGGGATTAATCTTTAAGGTGGTAACACCTTAAGGTCTACTAGAATGAATTTGTTCTTTGAGATGAAAGAGTGTCATTG